AAAAAAAAAAAAGAAAAAAAAAAAAAGAATGCAATTCTGTATTGTGGCCAACATTTCACTGAACTGGAATTCAGAGTAGGTGCTCACCATCAGCAAACTGACTGTAGACATACATATCCAAGTGACTTTCTCAGCCCACATTAGGCAGGATTCAATGCACCATAAGTTGCAGATTTGTGATCAATATAAATTAAATTGTAATGCATGGTTAGATTATAAAAATACACAGAGTAGCAAGAAAGCAATTTCCACAGACATCAGGACAGTGGTCACTTTTAGGAGGGAAAGAAAGATTCTGACCAGGAGTGCATTACCGTGCGGCTAGTGTGTAAAAAAAATTTTTTTTGGTGTAGTTTTTTTGAGACAGGGTTTTGTGATGCAGTCCAGGCTACCCTTGACCTCACTATGTACCACAGGTGGGTCTTGAACTCACAACAATCAGCTACCTGAGGCCGGGATTATAGACCTGCACTACTGTATCCAGCTTGTTTCTTTTAAAAAATTTCCTATTGGGCATTGAATCCAGAGCCTCGCATACCCTAGGCAAACTATCATGTAACTACCCCCCCAGACCCCAGTTTTTTTTCTCTCTCTCTCTTTCTTTTCTTTTTTTTTGGTGCCAGGGACCACAGTCAGGACCTTGTGCTTGCTTGAGAGGTAGACAGTGGAACCACTCAGCTAAATCCCCAGCCCTAGTTTCTTTTCTTTTCTTTTCTTTTCTTTTCTTGTTTTTTTGAGACAGGGTCTCACTATGTAGTTGAGACTGACCTGGAATTCAGTATGCAGCCCAGGCTGTTCTTGATCCTCCTGCCTCAGCCTGCCAAGTGCTGGCATTACAGGCATGTGCCACTAAGCCCAGCTACTTATTTATTTCTTGATCTGGGTCACTACATGGAATTCTTTTTTTTTTGAGGGTACTAGGAATCGAACTCCAGTCCTTGTGCTTGCGAGGCAGGCAGTGGCACCCAATGAGCTAAATCCCCGGCCCTGGAATTCTTGTTTTATATTAATTTATTAAGTAGTCCATTTATGCTGTATGCAGTTTTTAACATGTGCGATACATCACAATAATTAAATTATTAAGAAATCTTGAGTCTACCATAAACTACACTATCTTCAGTAAGCTGTTGTTGAAACCTCAGTTTCCACTTTTAAAATATGTGGTCATACTTATATTATTAGTTTATTGTGGGACTTAGCTAAGGCCTTAACTATGGCTTATTCTGTATCAAAATTTGGCTGTGGGCATTTATGACAGTCACACCCAATTCCTACACCCCTTAGTAGATTTGAGAATACTGTTTTCTATAGATTGGGATATGCATGAAGCAAGCAGCTCAGCACCTACCATAAATACACAAATAAATGGGAGCTAATATCGGGCTTATCAAAATAATATGGACAAATTCACCCCTGCCTCCACTGCCCAAAACACAGTCGCACAATAACTGTGTTTCCCTGAAAATAAGGGAAAGTAAGTACTGGTCATTGCCATGGTGATGGAGAGAACCAGGCAGATTACACCTCACTATTCTCCTACTCGGGGGCTACTACGTAATGGCAGGAGATGAAAAGTGACTGGGGCTGGCATTTTGATTTCTGATTTTCAAAGCTGATTATGTTCAGGTTAGCTCTCATTTTCAAGGAAACAGGGAAGGTTCTGGATTCTTATTTTTGAACTAGAGGAGCCATCATTTTTATCCGTAGTGTACACCTAATTCATATTTAGTAAAGGTTTATAAAATGACTAGAAATGGGCAAGGGTTTGAGAAAACATAAACTGGACTTTTATTCCTCCTTGTAGGCCAGACTATGTAATCACAACGATAAGTTACTTTTAGCATTCAACCAAAATTTAAACTAACCCTAATTTGAGGAATGAATGTTTCACATAAGGGAATAAAATGACTTAGATAGATAGGGGAGTAAAACAATAAATGCTTTCCTTTTGTGCACTGGTAGTTTTTTGTTGCTGTTTTGTTTTATTTTTGGTTTGTTTTTTATTTTGCTGGGGGATTCAACTCTGGGTATCATGCTAAGCATGTGCTCTACCACTGCGGACACTCCAACCCAGCAGAAAATTTTAAAAGACACCAATAAATCAGGTGTGGTGGCACACACCTATAATCCCAGCACCAGGAGGCTGAGGGAAGATCTCAAGTTTGAGCCCCCAGCCTGGAAGTTAGTAACTTAATGACTTAGTGACTTATTATTTCTAAATAAAAAATTAAAAAGGGCTGGGGATGTAGCTTAGTGTGAAGGCCCTGGATTCAGTCTGCAGTACCAATAAATAAATAATACGAACAATAAAACACTACATGGCTACAATGAAAACCAGTATTTTGTAAAATTAATATGCACCAATAAACATAACTACTGAAAAATACCTGTACATGGTAACCTTAGCTTTTTAGCTAGAAAAACGCTAACAATTTAATATATATATGATATAACTACAATATGCACCACAGAAATAATAAATTCATAAAATTTATTACAAGTCACAATAGAGAGCCAGGTATAGTAGCACACACTCATAATCTAGCACTTTAGATTCTCCTGTTTCAGCCTCTTTCAGGGCTAGAATGACAGGGGTGTGCCACTGTGCCCTGCATTGCTCCCTGTTTTAATATATTACTTGAGCTGGGTGTGGATGTACACACATATAATCCCAGTATATGGAGGCTGAGGCAGGAGGATGGAAATGAGTTCAAGGCCAGTGTGAGCTACACAGTAAATTCAACCCAGCATGAATTACAGAGTGAGTCTCTGACTTAATAAAAGCACAGGGCCGAGGATTTAGCTCAGAGGTTCTGCCACCTGCCTCACAAGCGCAAGGTCCCTGGTACCAAACAAACAACAACCAAGAAAAACCAGCCCCTCCGGGTTCACATGTGAAGTCAGGGCCATGCTCCTTCACCTTGTTTCCCACCCCTCACGATGGCTGGAGAGCTCTCTGTGGCCACTTCCTACATTGAAGACAATTTCTACTGTCCTGTCTTTTAGGAGGTCCTCAAAACGCCTGTGGGGATTATGGCCTCTGAACGTGTGACATGTTACAGCTTGTATCTGGATAACCCCCTAAAGCCTTATGTGGTCACAAGTAGGGCTTCTCAGACACAGCTGGATCTAGAGTGTGTGATGCTGGGATCAAGGGTGTGTAATTACTAATTATTCCACTGATTGGTTTGGCACAGTTCTCTGACAGGATAATGGGAAGGCCTTTGCAGAGTGTGAGTGTTACCCGCCCTAAGTGCAGGTAGCCCCCATAAAATATAAGGGACAGAAAGAGGGCTGTTGGTTGTCACTTGCTGCTTGCTGCCTTCTGCCTGCCATGAACTATTTCTCCTCTGTGATGTCCCTGTCAGGCCAGCAGGACTTGGAGCCAGCCACCTATGAACTGAAACCTGTATGAACTGTGAGCTAAGTAAACCTTTCCACCTTTAACTTTGTGTGTTGGGTATTTTGTCTCAGAAATGAAAAGAAGTAACTAAGATACTCACTCTGTATACTGTGCAGGCACTCAGAAACATAGAGTGCTATTTTATCTAAAATAAAAAGGTTAGGGCCAGGGATTTAGCTCAGCAGTTCGGTGGCCTGCCTTGCAAGTGCAAGGACCTGAGTTCAATCCCTGGTACCTAAATAAATAAATAAATAAATAAAATAAAAATTTTTAAAAAGCTTACATAACTTCATTGTGAGTATTTATCAAGGCTAGAGCGGACAAAAAACTGAGAAAAATAGCTAATGTGAAAGATGACTGAGTCAGGCATTTGTTTTCAAAAAATCAGTATGACAGGTGAGGCCAGAATACTTGATGTCAATTTAAGTAGAAGATACTCAGGTTTTTAATTTTAAAATTATAAGTAGGGAGCCCAGGGATTTAGCTCAGCGGTTCTGGCGCCTGCCTCTAAAGCACCAAGGGCCTGACTCTGATCCCGGGTACCAAAAAAAAAAAAAAAATTTATAGGTAGGAAGCAGGTGGTATAGATGATAGCCTTCATCTTTAATCCTAGCACTCAGAAGGCTGAGGCAGGAGGATTGCCATGAGTTTGAGGCCAACTTGGGCTACATAGGGAGTTCAAAGACAGCCAGAACTACATAGCAAGACCTTGTCTCAAAACACAACACAACACAACAAAAATTACAGGTAGGGACAAAAGCAAGGAAGTCAGAAAAAAACAGGGATTAGCTCATCATAAACTTTTTTTTTTTTTTTTTTTTTTTTGGTACCAGGGATCAAACTAGGGACCTTGGGGCTAGGGATTTAGCTTAGTGGTTCTAGCACCTGCATGGAAAGCACAAGGACCTGAGTTTGATCCCAGGTACCAGAAAAAAAAAAACAAAACTAAAACCAAACTAGGGACCTTGCGCTTGACAGGCAGGTGGCAGAGCCAGTGAGCTAAATCCCTGGCTCATAAACTTTTTGATATATTTTAAAAACACAATAGGCCACTTCAGGAAGTACGTATATCATCACTGAAGCTTGCTTGCTTCCTTTCCCTCTCACTCTTTCTTTTCCTTTCTGTCCTTTTCAAGGCAGAGTGTTATTATGTCACCCAACTGGCTTCTAACTCCTGAGTTCAAGTGATCCTCCTACCGCAGTCACCCAAGAAGCTAGCACTACAGGCACCCACCATCATGTCTAACATGGCAACCATACCCAACTGCTACTGGAGGTCTTTAATCCAAGGAAGACAAATCCTCTTAAAACAGAAAAAAAAACAGAGGATTCAGAATAGGGCTTAATAGAAGAAATAATGCCAAATAGTCTCAAGAGTCTATAATCTACTTATGTATGGGTAGACCTAAGTACAATTAAAAAATGTAAAAATAATTTAATTCCAGTTGATTTAAAGTAAATTGATTAAGTCCCTGAAAGATCTGCTGAGCTGGATATGGTGGTGCACACCTGTAATCCCAGCACTTGGGAGGCTGAGGTAGGAGGATTTCCTGTTTGAAAGTTCAAGGCTGGCCTCGATCTCAAAAAAACAAAACAAGGGTCGGGAATTTAGCTCAGTGGTTCTGCCACTTGCCTCACAAGCACAAGGTCCCAAATTCAATGTCCAGTACCAAAAAACAACACAACAAACAAACAAACAAAGAAACAGGCAAATAAAGGCATGAAGCACATCTTTCTGATGAATATAAAATAACTAATGTCTTTTCAGCTTTTCCCCTAAAATTAATGGACTCTTCCAGCCTATGTGGGCCCTCCTTGTCTGAATCCCCGGGGGACTTAAAATCTGTATATACCATGACAATAGTTATTATACACTGCATATTTTCTTCCTGAGACCAGAAGCTCCTAAGGGTATAATTTATCTCTTCTGAGTAGCTCACGAACCAAAAATTAGGCATACTTCAACAGCACATTTATTTAACTTTCTGATACTTCTGAACTAAGAAATAGCAGTATTTAGATACCAGAAGTCTTTTTTCCACTTTATATTTTCCAGTAATATGGCTGATTTTGTCAACCCAGCATTCATTTACCTCCTGTGATTTACCCACCCAGCTCCTCCACACTGTTTATGTCCATCCATTCAACTGGACCAGGAGAAAAACCAGATCTCTAAGTCAGTTTTACAAACCCTTATGCATAGAGTTGGGTGATTAATCCAACTGAGACCAATGAGGTGAAAGAAATTTGAAGCTAAGAGAATATAAAAGACCTTAGATACTGCAGTCACCTGGGACCAAAACAGTCTCTCCAAACTTGCAGTCAACATTGAAAAGGGCAAAGTTGAGACTGAAGGAGAACCGGGACTCTAGGGACAAAATCTAGCACTCCCATTAAGTATTATTATTCTCCATTCCTGATCCCCGAATTGCCTGACTTCAAAGTCTTTTTCCAAGTTCTATTATTCTGAATCTCTAAGTCTTTATCCTTTACAGTGAAAGACATTTCATCAGGCCTGAGAAAGAGTATACAGAGAGGAAAAAAAGGAATAAGGATATTTGAGTAAAAAATAAAAAGAAATACAAACAATTATGTTTAGGTGAATGTACTGGCAGACTGTAAACTATATATTAGAGTAACACAAACAGTGATGACGTTAAAATGCTGGGAAAATGACAATGTGGGAGATGTTGGAGTGTGCAGGTTGGCAGAAAGAACGGGAGGAAAGGAAATCTGAATGGCCCTGTGTAGTCTTTGCCATTTGCAACCCTGTTCTGTCACTTTCTTGTGCTCATAGGCAAAATGGTCATCTCTGAGATCTTACTAAATTCTTAGACCAGTGTCACAGCACACATCCGTAATCCCATCACTGTGGAAGGCTGAGGTATGAGAACGGCAAGTTTGAGACCACCTTTGGAAATTCAGCGATTTAGCAAGACTTTCGAAAACCAAAGAAAACAAAAACCCTAAGTCCTTTCCTTCTATAAATACTTTTGTAACAGGCTCCTTTCTCATCCTTGGCATCAATCCTCAAATGCCACCTATTCCACATGCTTTTCAACTGAAAGTGGGCCTTTCCTTTTTCCATTGCATCTATTTCCTGTAATGCTTTTTATCACCAGCAATAATGTGTATACTTGTTCAGTTTATTAGTTGTTTCCACCACCACAATGTAAGCTCCTGAAAACAAAGATTTTTGTCTTCAACACCTCCTCCTCTTAATACTCAAACCCTAGCATACAATGGTAGGTACTAAGTAAATATTTATTGAAGGACAGAATGATTAACAAAAAGCGGAAAGACAGCTGGAGGAAAGGAAACACTTGGCTTTGCAGTTGGCTGGCAGATTCTAGGAAACGCCAAAGGAACAAAGTAAGAAAAGACAGCTGGGCTGGAGGCTGCACCGCGAGCTTAAATTTGCATTGTCGGGAGTGAAGACTGAGGCTTTTGCCGGCCACGCGTGGGGTGGAAGAGGGACATAAACCACTCAGCGACCAACACTTGACCGCTCCCTTCGTGGAAACCAAACCTTGTTCTGCGAGTCCAGTAGCCAGGAGTCACCAAACTTAGCCCCAGGGCCAAGCCCCTCCTGGGCAAGCAACCTGTTTGAGAACTGCCATCTTCCCGCAGTCCCTACAAGGGGTCCTACGCAGGCCAGGTGCCGTGCGTCTGCCCGCCCCCAGCCCTCCGGGGACCGAGCGCGCCCCTCGCTTACGCTTGTCTCCGGGCTATCAGCCGATGCATGGGAGTCGCCATCTTAGAGCGGCCAGACCTGCCGCGCTGACTTTTGGGAAACTCCACGGAGGGGGCGGGGACTTCGGAGCCGGCGCCAGCGCCGTGGGCGGGGGGGGGGGGGGG